CATTTTAGCGAGAGGGGCATCCTACAACGATGACAGATCACTCACACTAGGGGGCCGCGTGTAGCCAGTCAATGCAGGAGCTCGTCAATAGGGTTGTTGTAGTGCATAAGGAGGCTGCCTAAGGGAGGTTCGAATTGAACAAGGAGAGGGACATGTTGAACAATGCACTTGGAAACAAGGAGCATCCCAGATACACAAGAGGGGTCAGTGCTGTTCCTTGGAAGGTTGCATTCGAGGATGAATCATTATTACTTGCATTCGAGGATCCTGTTGACGTGGGCCTTGCAATTGGCCAGTTGTGCTCCCACTCATATACCTTTTATTCCCATGAGTTTCAGGAACCTAATTTACCAAGGGGTTGGACCTTTTTCGATCCAGTAGACCTCCTTGGCGGTAGCAGCGGCCATGGAGTTGGAGATAGATCTCTCCTTGGTGATGTCATAGGAGAATGATCTCTCTTTGTGGCGAGGGAACAGGAGGCGCTGCCGTAGGAGCACTCCTTGGCAGTGATGACATAGGAGGCAGTGGCAAGCGAACCCTAGGCGGTGTCGACGAACAACACCAACCCCTCCTATGTATATGGGATGTTCCTTAGTTTCATGAGTGGCATGAGTGTCAATGCCAGGTTCAAGCATGATCCAATAGTGATATCTTAAGTTTCATAATCAGGTTATGTCCCAACCCAACAGTGACACTCAATACACTACTACTATAATCTTTTTTGAGGCGGGCAAAATGGATTTATCGAGGCGGGCATCACAACCGCCTCGGTCCAAAGGTCACGGTAAATCAATCTTTACCGAGGCGGTTCAAATGCCCACCAAAGTAAATCAAATAAAAAAACCCATGGACAAGCCCGCCAAGCCCATCCACACACCGCCGCCGCCGCTAGCTGGATCTACATGTCATCGCTGTCGACATCGCTGGATCCACCGCCGGAGGACGAGCCCGCCCTGGATCCGCTGCCGGGAAGCGCACGGCCCTGGATCCACCACCGAGGGCACACCTACCATGGATTCGGCCATCCTCCACCGGATCCAGCAGCCCAATGCCGGACTTGACGCCTCCTTACCGGATCTTGGGTAAGAGAGGGGCCGCCCGCCGCTGGAGGAGCGTGCCCAGCGCTGCAGCTCCGCTGCTGAAGGAGGGGCTGTGCACACCGTGCTGCGCCATCCCTAGAGGAGGGGCCGCCCCGCCCCTGCGCAGCCACCGTCGGAAGGGGCTGCGCCCCAGGCCTATTCCCAGCTCTAGAAAGGGAGAGGGAGACGGAGGCTAGAGTGGAGAGGGAGATGGAGGCGGCTTGGTCTCGGAGAGGGAAAGGGAGGCTCGGTCTCGGTCTCAGAGAGGGAGGCAGCCGGCTCGGTGGGAGAGGGAGGCGGTGAAACAGAGAGAGTGAGAGAGAGGAACAAGAAACTCTAAAGTTTATGTATTTATACTTGAAGACGCTATCGGGCCTCGCCTGGGCCTGCTTGGGCCTCAACCTTTTTTTAGGCGGGCCATTTAGGAGGTCTGCCTCCGAAAATGGAGGCATTTTTGGACGTTAATAGATTTTAGGAGCGCCTCTATAAATTGATTTTGCGAGGCGGTTAATTGTGACCGCCTCAGTTAATGAAAACAACCGCCTCCGTTAATCCCGGGCATTAACTGAGGCGATCCGATTTTGTAAACGCCTCGGTTAATAAAAGGGCACCACCTCGCAAAATCATTTGTGTAGTAATGTTATCTCACTACCGGCTCATGCGTCAACCCGGCAGTGACACTCTATATATTAGTGTCGGTTCCTGAGCCAATCCGACAGTGGCGGTCGTAGATATCACTATTGGTTGATGTTTTGACTCGATAGTGATAGTTCATTATCATTGTCGGGTCGCCAAACTGGCGGTGATAGGATACCCCATCACTGTCGATTATCCTTAGTCGGCATGAATTTTCGGCAGTGATGGTGGATTCTGACCCAGCAGTGATTATCAATTCTAGCGTAGGGAATCATGAATTTCCCTATCGGTACAACTAAAAACCGACAAAAACTTTTGATACACATAGGGCAATTCATGTTTTTTCCATTAGTGTCATGTACTTCTAGTGCGCAAAGTGAGCGTAGCTCAATTGGTTCGTTTCTTATGGTGAAAGATGATGTTTATCTGGATTCAAGTACTCGACTTCACACCATGCTTGCATTTTTCTAGGTTTATTATAAGATGGTAGGTTACATGTCTGTCTACGGGAAAATGTCCATGTTGACTTTATCAATCTTGAGAGTTGTTGATCCAACTTAATCTTTTTTAGGTGTTCCTAGCTAGAGATAGGAGTACGTTCATATGAGTGATTGAGTACACATGTATATGAGTGTATGGTTTTGGGGGGGAAAATACTTGGAGTGCACTTTTTGACTGCTGCTGCGGTTGCTTGTACTTTTGACGTTCGCTCCCGTGTGCAAGCTCGTGCACTCGATCGGTCGTACACGTGTGCGTACGTACGGGATAAACATTGACTTGTCATCGAATTCTTACATATATGTAAACCCTGAGCCTGAGCCCTGAGGTCAATCACGGCGCGACTTCATCCTCACGTGCGCCATTTCACGCATGGCTCCATCGATCGCTTGCTTTTTCGTTGTCACAAGCTAGCTGGATACGTGAAGGTTCATGGTTGGCCGGGCCAGCCAATGGTGGGTCCATATATACATGTCCGTCTCTACATGCCACTTGAAAGCTGCGTCCGCGCACGGACAGAGAGAGAGATAAGAATAAGAGGGATCTCCCAACAAAGAAAACAAAATCAAGTTTGATGATGTTAGGTTGCAACTAGCTAGATCTTTTGTTAAGCACGAGATTTTCTTTCTCGACATTGAGTAAATTAGATTTAACACACACATAATGCACAAACCGCATGTATCGTATTCCTAGCACATCTATCGACGTATATAGTATATAAGGATCTTAATATTAAAAAAAGTACAGTATAAGAAAGTATATGATCTCAAGCAGCGCAAAATTTACCTGCATATATAAAAGACAGTTTATCCAAACACCACTTTTATTATCCAAAGACACGTCTGTAACAGGATTTTACCTGTGATATAAGCCAAGGGGACCCATGGCCGATATGCAAGGCTCGCCTGTGGAAACGGTTTCCTTCCCTGGTTGCTTCATTCAAACCAACATTGTCTAAAGGAGCAATTCACTTGTCGGACTAAAAACTTTGCAAGCTACAAGAGTAAAGGTTTATTAGTCTTTATTTCCTTAAAGAGAGTTGGCACTAAAATGTAAAAATATGACATTCCTATGTTCTTTTCAAAGTTTGTCACACAATTTATGGCTTAATATGTGTTTGTGACCTAGAGAGGGCATGTTGTTTTAAACCATTTCTTTAGACTTCAAATTAATTTTAAATTTGTGGTCAAGCTTACTTCAATTGAGTATATTTGCATCATTGCATGATTCTTCCATTCTATAGCCCCCCAATTTGATTTTTTTTCTTTGCTCTAAAGGCGTTCATCATGAATGTGGACCTTTAGATCTCTAGACCATGTGCTTCAGATCTCTTTTTTTTCTTCCCATCTCAGTGAGAAAGGTCCGTCACAAAATTTGTCACAGGGATGGCCAGTTCTTTCACCTTGATGGCAAGATGGTGACAGAAATAAGTTTCAATCACTTCTCGATTGAACAAGGCTGAAACTAATTTAACTTAATTGTGCATATATATGTGTACAATATATATGAATAAACTTTTTGTCTTGTAATTAATGTTTATTGACATATGAAATATTAATGATGACGGTGAGTTGGTTGTGTATATATTGAATTTCCATTAAATTAAATAAACATACCACATCTCTGAAATGTGAAAAATAAATGTTTCTAATTTGGTGGAAAAAATAATAAATGGTGTGAAACTCTTAAGATCTGAAACTCTTTTTTAGACGTGGTTCCAAGATAACAAATTTTAACTAGAAATTTGACTAAATTTTAAGAAAAATTGTACTTCTGCCCCCCCTGCCCCCCCCTCCACCCTAAAAAAAAAGGGAAAAATCATTTCTGGCTCAGCCTCTGGCCATCTGGTGACATGTTCATGCAATCATGTATGATGTATCTCCATGTTGTGTCTAGGGTTTTAAATCTATCATGAGGAAAGGTGGTCAATACTTGCGCAGGATCCACCATAAGGATCCCCTGAAAATGGTGCGGGTAATTCTCTGCTCCGCTCCTATCCAAATCCCAATCTAGAGGATATGGAGAAGAGTTTTCAATTTCAGCAATGTGTATAGCAAGTGATTTGATTTTTCTTGCAGATTCCTGAGAGAGGCCCTCTGAATCTGGAAGAGAGAAGAGCCAACCTGCTTGTGCCAGGTGCACACACACACACGGTCCTCATCAATGCCCAAGAAATCTGGAGAGACACAGACAAACGCAAGCAATTACTCCCTTCATGAGCGCCACAGCAGAAAAGGAGTCCTCCAGCAATACGTCAACCGGCCGTGTGTTCTTGGCTTGCACACGCAAAAGCAGCGCATGCAACAAAGCAAAGATCACACCCGGAGCAAGAGAGACGCCCATTCATGTGATCACCTGGCTGACTTTTGCATTGGAAAGCAACAGTGCGAGATCAAAAGGGAACGCAGCACAGCACAGCACAGGGAGTGGCTTATATGAGGTCATGCAGTATATAAGCACTCACATGCAGCTACCTAGCTAGGGCACCTGTGCAAGAGGACAGGTAGGAGATAAAGCAGCTAGGCCTGCTGCCTGCTGGCGTGTCCTAGTCCTAGAATATAAGGAGGCCGATATCGTATCAGCAGAGGGTTCCAGGGAGAAGGCCATTGTGCAGGGGCCGCCGTGGCTGTGTAGGCAGCAGCCACAGCTTCCCATCTTTTCTTGTTCTTCAACTACTTGCCTTACTAAATCTACTAGCCAAAGATAGACTAGCTCTAGGCGTAGCTAGCTGCTTGCTTGCTAGGTGTATCGATCGTCCGAGGTTAGGAGAGACAGCAGGCAGCAGGCATGGGGAGGCCACCGTGCTGCGACAACGGCGTCGGCGTCAAGAAAGGGCCATGGACGCCGGAGGAGGACATCGTCCTCGTCTCCTACATCCAGCAGCATGGCCCCGGGAACTGGCGGTCCGTTCCAGAGAACACAGGTTGGATCGCCGAACTCTCTCCTTGTTGCTTTATTTGCTCACTTGATCAGATTTTCACTGAAGGGATTGTACATACATGTTGAGAGATGTGCTTGGTTTTGGTTTTCATTGAGAGAGAAGTAGTGTGTTTGATTCTTTGATGTTACACATGTTTTTTTAGAGTTGATGAGGTGCAGCAAGAGCTGTAGGCTTCGGTGGACTAACTACCTCAGGCCTGGGATCAAGCGTGGGAACTTCACTCCTCATGAGGAAGGGATCATCATCCACCTCCAGGCGTTGCTTGGCAACAAGTAATCACCGTACCATTCTTAAAATTGATTTTTTAGAACCTCCTAAAATATTTTGATGTACCACTCAGATCTGTAAGCACCAAAAAAAGTTACATTGAATCTAATATAGATTTATAACTTTCTTGAACTCATCAACTCCATTATCCATCACCAGCTTGAAAATCCATTCAGTTCCATTTCATTGAGTAACAAACAAGCTAGCTTGAAGTATGTCAGGCAAAGCCATGACTAAGAACTGTATAAACAGCATAATCTATGGCTTCAACAAACAACTGCTCCATATCTGCCTTGCTCTTCATCACGTATATAATTTGGTTTCTCATATATATGTACATCTTGTGCTTTCATGCAGGTGGGCAGCCATAGCCTCCTACCTCCCTCAAAGAACCGACAACGACATCAAGAACTACTGGAACACACACCTCAAGAAGAAGGTGAAGAGGCTGCAACAACCGGCAGCAGCCGACTCCTTCCAAACCACTGCCTCCTCCAATGCAGTCACCTGCAGCCTAAACTACTACAGCCCTAGCAGCAGCAGCAGCCACCACAGCCTTCAAGGAATGCAGCAGCCCATGAACAGCTACCCCAACACCGCCTGCAGCGGCGGCGCACCAAGCAACAATGAGACTACTACCACCGCCGGCGTCTCCAACCTCTTCCAGACATGGATGATGAGACCGTCACCAGCAGCAGCAGCGGCAGCAGCTATCTGCAAGGTCGCCATGCAAGACTTCCAGGAAGAGCAAGACGCTGCAGCAGCAGCCTCCATCGTTTGCCAGGAACAGATGGTGATGACCGGCGGCGGTGATGTTAACAACAAGTCGTCGGCGTTGGAGATGGTGGTGGCGCCGGTGATGGGAGCGGCGAGCACCGCTACCTTCTCGCTGCTCGAGGACTGGCGGCTCGATGACATGCCCGGGCAGGCCATGGATGGGTTCTTGGGGATCTCTGCCGGTTGCTGTGCAGATCCCATCATGTTCTAGTTGTTCTATTGGCGTCATGGCTATCATAGGCTTCATTCTCAATGCTGGTTTCTTGCACTTGTAATGTCGGTTGATCGAATGATATGATCGGGTCGTCGATCCTATGTTTCTGGTAATAAGCCGTTTGTTTCCTCGGGAGAAAAATCCTGGAGATGGTCCAGTTTATTTGGAGATGACGGATATAATAAAATGGTTTCACTACAGTACATAATTTGGATACTCATTTATTAGATTTATTTTGATGCTGTGTTCTACTTCTATCATTTGATGTTACCATAACACCTTTTAAATTTGTATATGCAAATTTGTGTAGGTCATAAGGTCATTCATTCTATCGTATATGTTCGTTCAAAAAAATCATTATGGTCGTATATGGTCTTCAGAAGATCATTATTCTTATTCTTATTCGTGCTCTATCCGCCCTCGTGCACAAACGTGCATTTCATAGGGTGAACCTTTTGTTTCTAGATGAATCTTTTCACATGAATCACTCCTTGGTTGCTGAAAATGCTGTTGCACTGATATAATGCAGTGTGTTGGCTATTTATACAAATCATTGACATTGAGTATATAATCTAGCTAGATATGCATGCAAATCTGTTCCTTATTTCTACAAGTCATTAACATGGAGTATAATGCAGCAATATTTTCACTAGTACTGTTACTACTTGTCTATGAAAATATTTTTCAGAGTTTTAACTACCAGATATATAGTGCTTCAAGGTTTCAGGTAGAACAATGGTTTTAGCTAGTGTTTTACTTACTTTACCAAGATGACAATGCTGATACTAGTAACATTTTGAGATGATTGCTAGATGTTATTCTAGCACCATATATAGAATAATTTCACTTTCAGCACTTATCACAGGACATGTCCTTTTCTGTTTGCTAGTATGAAAATCCATTTGGGAAAGAAAGAATAACAACTCTAAGCACTTAATAATAAATTAAGAAGCTGAGCATTGAGGAGGGAACAATTAGACACAAAGGGCTCTGATAGCCAGATAATACACATTTAGGATCAAGAACATAACCATAAGTTGGAAGTGTAATAATTGGTGTCAAAAAGACATTTATTCAGCTCTGATGGTACAGAAATCACTTAGCAAAAAAAATATAACCGTCAAGTACAAAGACTTGAAAACCAACATAATACACATTTATTTCCGCCATTCTAGTTAGGGTACAATGAGGCTCTAACTGAAATTGCCTAATGGCAAAGAAAGAGAGAATGTAAAACATCTAGTTAACAATTACAGCTAATTTTCCTGATGTGATTTATCACAGTAAAGAGCAAGAAGAGAACTTTGTTATATCCACCCTCAGCAGCAGAGACAAAGCTCATACAGTGTTTACAGTATCAGCAAGGGACCGCAATATACAGCCTAGACCTGCCTTCTCAGTCAGTTTTTCATGAATTTTGAGGCACTGATCACATGTTGGCCTATCCCCTGTAGATAAACCTCTATAAAGGTACCTGCATCACACTGATATTTAGAGACCAATAATCTTCATATTAGCATAAAAGGAATCATAGAAGGCAACAATTCCAAGACAGAAATAAAGAGATACATGTGGGTAAAATGGTGTACAGCTAACTTAATTTTACCACAGTTCTAAGGTGTGCGGCACAGCAACCTTCAATAATGTGAAATCAAGGATGACGTGAAACGTGATAAAGTGGACAAGCATAGGAATATTGATCAGCATACATACATGTTCATTCGATCATGTCGTGAGCAATATTAAACAAGAAATGCACACATCTAAGTGACAGCCCATAGTATACAAAGCTCGTTCAGGTATTGAGTCATACAACTCATTGTCATTTTGTCAACACTGTCGTTTATAGAACAGAGCTTGTTCAGGTATTGAGTAATACAACTCATTGTCATTTGTCAATAGTACACTGTCGGTTATAGAACCGAGCTTGTTCAGGTATTGAATCATACAACTCATTGTCATTTTGTCAATAGTACACTGTCGTTTATAGAACAGATTTCATAAAACAGTGTGTCATCCAGTCCAAAGCATTAACTTGATCAGCAATTCCTATTCTAAATTAATTTTAGGTCAACGGAATTACAATAATTTTTTTAAGTAAATTGAACGACTAATCATATGGTCGATCCAAACAAACATAGACTGACTGCATGCATTCTAGAATGCACTCATTTTTTACTGGAAGTTGTACAGTCCCATAAAATAATTGAAATGTTATATCCTCTTGACCACACAAAGTAATGGTATAATCAAAGGTTCCATTGTGTGTTCTCTCTAATCCAAATTCCCAATAATTAACACACAATTAAGCAACATCTAGACTGCAAGGGCAAAACAAAATTTCCCAAAATCCCAACCAGTTACCGCAGCAGAATGACAAATCATAACAAGCATGGCAGGATGAAAATCACCAATGTTAGGTACAGCATAACTGTTCTCAATCATCAACTGTCATCCCACCGCACATAACTGATGTCATAAAAAACTAAAGTTTTGTAGCAATACCATTACACAATCACCGTGGCTCAATGCAACAAAATTTATAATGCAGTGATTGATATCTAGTTCTGGGATCTCAACTAGGAAGAATTGGAAACCACTGACCTTCTCTGACCAGTAAATTTGGATCTGGGAAGCAAGTGATGGAAAGGGAGGAGCAGGGGAGAGGTGGTATCCCTTACTTCATGAGGATGTCGTAGTACTCGGGATCCAGGGAGTTGAACATGCCGTCGACGTCCCTGATAGCCATCATCGCGCGCAGTGCACCACGATCCAGTTCGCCGACTACGCGCAACCGACATGAATGAACAATCCAAGAAACCCAGATCGTACCCACAGAAGAAACGAGATGAGCCATATCAAGACCGAACCTTGCATCGCTCGTCGCGGGTCTTGAGTGGCGACCCCTCGAGCACCGTCTTCAGGGCCTCCACCGGCTTCGACCTGCCCCCACACCGCGGAGAAATGAGCAGGCGAATCAAAAGCAGGGGAGGGGTCGAGAGGAGAGGGAAAGGGGGGCGTATTGCTTGAGGAGGGTCTCGATCTTTCGGGACTTCTGCTCGATGCGGGTGATGATGGCCTCCGGGTTCTCGTCCGCGTCGGGGTACGCCGCCGACGAAGCCATCCCGCCGGCGCCGGCGACACGGAGGGCGGGGTTGGCTGCCGGGGCTGCTACGAAAAGGAGGGGCGTCCCGCGTCTGTAAACGACTGGATCCGGTGAACAGGGTCGTCAGTGAACGAACGGATCTGGGGTAGTTGGGCGGGGCTGTCCGGTGGACGGGGTCGGTGTCTCTGCTCGCCGATAACCAGAGAGAGGAACAGAGGAGTGACAGGACACAGGAGAGAATCGGAGGAGGACGAGATAGAACGAGAAAAGTGTAAAGGTGATTAATTTCTCTCTACCATCAAACAGTAGCTTCAAAATTTCAACTTTATGCAGTTTGTAACGCTAAATTAAAGGAGGGAGTGTGCTTCGAAATTTCATCAAGTCGACGGTTGCGAAGGGCAAGAAAGCTAGTCGAACCAACTATGATTTGTTTAGGTAATTGGAACGTAGGGTCACTTAAACGTAAGTTAAGAGAATTACTTAATACCGCGACTAGGAGGCGTGTAAATATATTATGCGTTCAAGAGACTAAATGGAATGGTCAGAAGGCGAAGGAGGTGGACAATACAGGTTTCAAGCTTTGGTACACATGGACAGTCGCGAATAGAAATAAAGTAGGAGTTTTGATTGATAAGGGCCTCAAGAATAGTGTGGTGGGAGTGAGAAGGCAAGGAGATAGAATTATCTTAGTCAAGCTTGTCATTGGTGATATGGTCTTGAACGTAATTAGTGCGTATGCCCTCCAAGTAGGCCTCGACGAGAGTGCTAAGAGACAGTTCTAGGAAGACTTAGATTGCCTGATTAGAGCTGTACCTAGTAGTGATAAGCTTTTTATAGGAGGAGATTTTAATGGGCATATAGGTACTACAAGCGCAGGTTTCGAGGCAGTTCATGAAGGTGTTGGGTATGGTAGTATGAATCAGGAGGGGGAGGAAGTTCTGGACTTTGCGGTAGCTTTTGACCTGATGATAGCCAACACTTTCTTTAGAAAGAGAGAATCTCATCTAGTGACCTTCAGTAGCGGACAACACTCTAGCTAGATTGACTTTGTCCTCGGAAGAAGAAAGGACAAACATGCAAGGTGATACCAGGGGAGTGTGTTGTTTCTCATCATAAGTTTTTGGTGGCAGACTTTCGTTTTCAAGTGCGTGCCCGTAAGGATAAACAAGCTAAGATTGAAAGAACAAAGTCGTGGAAACAGAAAGGGAAGACATCAGATGTATTCAGGGAAAGGGTTATCAAAGAGGGCTCTTAGAAGGAAGAAGAGGACATAAATAACATGTGGGAGAAAATGGCAACCAACATTCGGAAGGTGGCCTTAGAGGTGTGTGGAGTAACCAAAGGAAGTAGAGGCGAGGCTAAATATACTTGGTGGTGGAACGAAGAAGTCCAAAAGGCTATTAAGGAGAAGAAAGAATGCTATAGACGCTTGTACCATGACAGGAGTGTGGACAACATAGAGAAGTACAAGGTGGCAAAGAAGACTGCAAAGCGAGCTATAAGTGTGGCAAAGGGTAGAGCGTACAAGGATCTTTACCAACATTTGGGTACGAAGGAAGGAGAGAAGGACATTTATAGGATGGCTAGGGTTCGTGAGAGAAAGACAAGGGACTTCAACCAAGTTAAGTGCATTAAGGATGAAAGGGAGCATCTCTTGGTGAAGGAGGATGAGATCCGACATCGATGGTAAGAGTATTTTGACAAATTATTCAATGGTGAGAATACAGACACAACCTTTCAGTTGGATAACTCTTTTGATGACACCAATAGGCGATTTATGCGGAGAATCCACGAATCTGATGTCAGAGAGGCGTTGAAAATGATGAAAGGAGGTAAGGCGATAGGACCGGATGGTATCCCAATCGAGGTGTGGAGATGCCTCGGGGACATA